AATTAGTGCCATACTCTCACTGCAGATCTTACTTGAGCCGTGCTATAAATTAGTGCCAAACTGGGCAAATATTAAAGCATGACAGTTTGTGCACAAAAATTTTTGCAACAGTATGGCCTGTAACTGGTAGGCACAGCGACGCAGCATTAAGGAAGAAAATTTGTTCAGATAAACGTGCCGAGAAAAATGATGACAGCAAGAGACTGAGTGTTTACATATGTCTGACGTAGGCGCATGGGCAAGTAAAATTTGTCAATTGTGAGTGAAATCTGACCCCAAAGTTTAGAATCATAAGTCATTTAGCTGAGGACCCTTTTGAAGTGATTACTTTGCATTATCGACTTGTGGCATAATGCTCTTGTAAGCTTTATTACTGTCGCAGAGATTGCGGAACAGCAACATTTATGAAATACTGATACTTACCAGTAACAGCAAGCATCGTGTCAGTAACAGAGAGGAACACTACCATTCGCAAGGCGAGATTTTTGCGGAGTCGTTTCACCCTAAATTATCAAATAGGAAGTCCAAATCAAAGAAATCATCTTAGAGAGTTTTGGCTGCAGTTTTTCGCATATTTCTTTCTGTAGTCTGAGTTAGGACACCGAGCTATAATTACGTATTTCTGCAGCCGTTGATACTTTTAATAAGCAGATAAGAGTAAAAATTGACTTTGTAACTATGAACATGTTCGTCTGGATGTATGCTTGCTTCGAGTTTGCCCCTGTTTGCGGTTTTAGCCAACTTTTTTGCAAGGTTCAACTCACCTGAGGTACATGAAAAGAACAAATCCATTGGATATTATGCATGTGAATTGCAACGTCAAAATAATGAGATCCGTGATGAGAAACGACAAATTGCCCATGTTTGGTATGCAAATTCGATATCTGAAAATCTATAGATTGAGACATGGATATAAGCTCATAGTCATTGGCGCACATACGAGCGAGTGAATAATAAGTATGTGATGGGAATTCGAATCTGTAGGCTACCAATGCTTGTGTTCTCTTAATGATTAACGACAACAAAGCTGATAGCTGAGCTGGTAAAAGAGAAACAATCTAAACACAGCTGTATATGATAACAAGACTTCAGGCAGGCACTGTATATAGACTAAAAATCTGTTCTGAATTAGAGAAGCAATTGAAGAAGGCAATATCTGACATATGGAAAATTTTACTTGGAATACAAAATTCTGGGTTAACGGATAGGTACTTCTGCCACAGCAAACAAACCACTCAGAAGCATCACTGTCAACTAGTCGATGTTAGATATTACTGTGTATCGCTGGCATAGCTAGAGTTGTTATTCCTTTATCATGCATACTAGTACAAAGATTATTTTTTGAGTTTGTAGAAGCACCGTGCTAGTACAATGATCGCAGAAATTTGAGCAACAGGTTCGATACACTTTCAGTCTAAGTAACACTAGAATAACTAGAACACTATGCCGAATAGCTACGAAGGCTATAAGCATCGATTTGCTTTCCAGCACGCCATTGCACACAATAAGGAGACTTGAAGACATAGACTATAGCTTTCCCTC